TTGCCCCCAGTAACTCTTTCTCAGCCCTCCATTTGCAGGCTTTGTGTTCCATGGAGCTAATCTTTTGTCTGTGTCCCTTAGTCAGGATAAACTGCCTGTGGGCAGGAACCCTTTTACCCAGTTATTCTATCACCTAGCTCTTTCTGTAAGGAAATGACTAAAATAGCTCTTTACTTTTTTCTCTTTTCTTTCATTCTTTTTCTTCTTTTCTTGAAAGCAGCTCATTGTGTTTCCCAGGATGGTATTGAGCTTAGGGGCTCAAGTCATTCTCCTGCCCCAGCTCCCTAGTCACTGGCCTACAGTGTGTGCTACTTCCTGCTGCCCCTTTTATTCTTGGTTAAGCTTGAGCTTTCAGAGGAAGCTCTACCTAGCAGTTGGGGCCTTACTCTACTCCATGAAGCAGATAGATCAAGAGAAATTATTTACAAGACTGAAGAGTGTGCTTTACTACAAATTCCCATGTCTTTGCAAAAGACAGGTGACCTTGGCAGTTCTGTGCACTTTTCCAACAGTTTGTTTAGGAGGCTAGGGTGGAGAGGGGTGTGGCTTTGTCTTCTGAGGTTTCCTCTCTCCACCTTGGAGGCCTGCAGGGAGAGAGGTGTGCTGTGAAGGCTGCTGAGATCCTTGGGCTGCTGCCTGGAGGGGAAGAGCAGAAGTGAGGAAAGTCACAGAGCCAGCCACCTGGACAATGCCCCACCTCGGTGGTTATCTAGAGTTAAAAGGCTCTGGAGTGGGCTGCTCCAGAGGCCATTCTTACAGAGAATTTCTTGGTAGAGTGCAATGGGGGAGTGCTCCATGTGGGGATTATAAATTTATATTTTGTTAGGAAAAGACAACTGTAAATAGCCTTGAGTAGGACTGGATACTAACAGATATTTTAGTCACTTTTGATCAGATTTTAGAAAATGTTCCTAGATGATGATGCAATGTGGGTAAGTTCTGATCATTTTATAAGCAAGGAATATTAGAAAGGACTTCAATGAGGCAATGCAATTTAAAATGATGCGTTTATGTCCCACCTGTTTCATTTAGTGACAGGAAGTGAGTGCCTACCTCAGGAACACTGGAGCATTGAAAGGACTGATCTGATAGCTCCCAAACTGAAATACATTCTGGAAAGCCATGTTTTCTTTTAAACAATTATGTCTAATTGTGCTTACGAAATAAAGAGGTTATTAGTATTTATGAATCAGTAAATGTTCTTTCTGTTTTCAAACTGTGTTTTCTCTCCCAGAGGTCTATTAAATAGAAGAACTGTACTTATTATTGCTTTTAAAATCTTTTCTGTTTTTAGGTTAAAAAGGCTTCACATTATTAATAAAAAACCTTGAAAATAATAACTGAACCTAAATAATGAACAGAAGTAAAGAAGTCTCAGTCTCTGCTGCAACCGTTGATGTTTATTTTTTAATCTCCAGTCCCTCACGAATTGCTCCAATGGACTGATGAGCAGAGTAAGCCTTGTGCCGGGAGCACTGCTTTCTTCCTATGAGCAGGCACTGGTTTGGTCATGGAAGTGCAGTTATGAAAGGTACTATGGTGGGGAGGAGGGACAATCATTAACAGAGTGTTTTTCTAAGGGTGAGAAGGTTCAGGGTGGTGAAGTAATGGCTACTTCAGCAGTGACACCAACCTTCAAAGGGAGGGTGGCAAGAGTTCTCTCTGTGGATTCAGGGGCTCATGCTGGTAATCCCAGCTACCTGGGAAGCTGATGCAGGAGGATGGAAAGTTTGAGCCCAGCCTGGGCAATTTAGTGAGATGTCTCAGTGAGAAAGGAACTGGGGTTATACATAGCATAGTGACAGAACATTTACCTGACATGCAGGGGGCCGGCTCCATCCCCAGCACTACCACCCACACAAGAGCAGGTCAGATTAAGGGGAGAGAGAGAGACAGAAGGACAGACAGACAGCTCCACAAGGAAACGATGTATGCACAGAGAGCCAGATCAGGAGGACAGGCCAGGGCTTTGTAAGTTTTTCATCTTTTTAGGCTGAGGGAGGCAGAAAGTGCTGGGCAACGACACCTGGGTTAAGGAGCTGTTATATTTCAGCGTTTATTTCTGTCAGTTACATCTGAGCTCATTATAATATTAAACTTTCAAGGGTGAAAATCCTGAATTTGGGATCCAAAATGAATTATTGCAAGAAGACCTAAATCCAAGGATGCCTTGACACTCCAGAAGAGGGTGGGAGAGGATAAAGAAATGCAGGCAAGGGTCAGAAAGCAGAGGTCAGCAGAGCCCTCACCGAGGGGCAGAGGCCTGCCCCACACAGCAGTGTCTTTGCTCAGACTCCCAGCAGAGGAGGCAGCTCACAGAGAATCTAAGGGGGGCTAAGACCCCAAACAGGCTGAGCAGCCCATCTTCAGCGAAGCATCTTGCCTTGTTGGTACAAGGGGAGCAGAAGGCAGGATCTGTCTTACCTCAAGGAAGGCCAAGTCACTTTGTGCCTCACCTCCCGCTTCTCATGGGGCCCTGCCAGGCTCATGGGAAGCAGTGATCTCGTGCTAGACACACAAGGGACCAACAGCTTCGCTCCCAACACAAGGAGATGAATATTCATCTGTGCGATGTGCAAAATGCGAAGAAACAACAAAAAAAGAGCAAATAAACTCTAACCACAACGTGAAGGACTTAGATTAAACTTACTGAGAACTTGGAGAAAGAAGAGCTTGAATTACATCATTCATTCTACCAGTTATCAAAGGCCCACCACAGGCCACAGTGATTCTCTGTTTGCACAGATGTTAGGCCCCGGACCATCTCCTAGACCTCTGTGTGCACTTCTTCCTAGAACTCAGCCCTTGGGAAAAGCCCTGCACTCATTTTAGCACCCTCTCCTCTGTAGGAGCTGAGTCCCTGGATGTTGGCCCCCGTGTTCATTCCCAGCCTGTCTTCAGCAAGACCCTTGATCCGGGACTCTTCCTAGTAACTCTGCCCACTGAGCCCCTGCCCAGGTCTTAGCTGTTAATTCCCGCTTGCCCATGAGGCATTCAGAGCAGAGTTTCTCTCCACCCCTGCCAAATGCCACCGAGTGGCCCCTGAGCCTATGCCCGCTGCCTTAGTGCTTTAACAAGTACCTTAAGTAATTTTTCCTTTCAGCCAGTGTTGGCATAGGGGAGGGAATTTAGGGTTTGTCACTAATTGCTGATTATTCTTTGAACAATTTTAAATCTTCCTTGCTGTTAAATCCTTTAACACTTCTTGTGCGTGGCTGGTCTGACTGGATTTTTAGGGAGAAAGGTCTAGTAGACCAGTGGTGGTGAACCTACGGCATGTGTGCTGTTTTTCTTTTTAGACAAAAGATGTTCGTGTGTGAGGTTTTTTTTTTTTTCAAAATGAAAGCCTCTGTGTTCAGGTTTAACTGCAGTGTTGGCACTTTGCAATAACACAGTGGGCTTGGGGTTCCATTCTAAAACCTTAGGGTCACTGGTAGACTTGGTCATGCAGCCCAAGGGCAGCTGCAGAAGTGCTGCTGGGCTGAGGAGCACGGCACTCTGAGGGCAGTGAATACTTTGCTTTAATGGAGGGGGCCAGGGGCTGTAAATTCAGGAAATCAGGATAGCAGCCCCTTCAGCACACAGGGAACAATTGCTTTGCCTGCGATTGTCTCTGTTTGGGTCTTCGTCATTTCTTGGTGGATTGCTGCGGGAAGCCCCTAACCAGTTTGGCTCCCTCCACTCTCCCCCCTGGGACACACCCAGCACTCTGCTGCCCTTCTCTAGAAGGCCACTCTGTTACCCTGCTGTGAGGACACTAGTCAGCTCACAAAGTGTGTAGCTGTATGATTCTATTCTTTTCAAAGTTTCCATCTGGCCACTTCTTCCTGCTTAACTTTTTACTCAGCCAAGACATTGTGAGCAGTTTCAGGCAGAGTGCCTGCATCCACAGGCCCATCTTTCTGCTTCTCTGTGTGCCAGCATGACCTCTGTATCTCTACAGCTCCCACAGCCTTGGTGGCCAGCTCACCTCAGGCCACACAGGCGGGGTCCCTATCACGCCTCCTTTATGAGTTAGCTTGGTGCTAGCTGCAGTGGGTCAGAACTAATGGATCACTTCTCTCTCTTTATATAGCATGAACAGTGCTAGGGCAGGGAATCTGGCTTGTTTGCCTTTATATAAAAAAAGCTTAACATAGCATTGCAAAATGGAAGGCTTGTGATAGAGGAGGAGGGTTTAGTTGTTGAGCTCATGCACTGGGTGGGTTAACCAAGTTTTTGTCCTTGTGACAGACACCTGGAGTAACCAGCTTCTAAAGAGATAAGTGTGCAGTGTGGTGATGCAAGGCCCAGGGTTTTCAGTCCACGGTTGTGGCCAGGCAGAAGCTCAGGGTGACAGCGTGTGGTGGAGCCAAGGAAGGTAAGGGGCTGCGGGCCACGGGTTCCTTCAAGGCCATGTCCTTATTGACACACAGTCCTCTGGGTCGCACCAATGGACCCCGACCTCCCAGCACTGCCGCACCACAGGCCGGACTTTTTACTCTGTGAGCCTAACCGGGGCACTGAGGATTCACAATGGGGCATCAGAGAGATTCCTGAGAAAATACTCTGCTTCCCATACTCTGCTCTTTCTGAAGGTGCACACATCCTTGCCTTCAAAGCCTGGGTCTGCACTTGGGGACTGTGGGTTGAGCTTTAATAGAATTCCAGCGACAGAGTTCACAGGCTAAAAGGGAGGTGACTGGAGTCAGAGTAAGTGCGCTCCAGTCTCTGGTCTTTTTTGGCTGTGTGCTTTTGGACTGATTCCTTAAGGCTGGTAAGGATTTGGTTTCCCATCTGCAAAGCAGCAGTGCTGACCATGCAGGGTCACTGCAGGATTCATCCATATCAGCCTGGTTAAGCAGCTGGGAAGTCCTAAGGGACCAGAGGTGTGGAAACTGTGGATGCTGTTCCTTCGGGGGTTCCCATGCTTCTGCCCTGGGGCTGTTGGGCTCCCGGAGTGTAGGCCAGCTCCTGCAAAGAGGAGAGGGGCTGAGGGGACCATGGGCTGGCCTGCTCACCGTGCAGAAAGCTCCAGGTGCTGATCCTGCTGGACTCCCAGCCTCCTGGGTGGCGGGTCTTCTGAGGCCTCAAGCCCTGCATGTGCTTGGCTGTATTCTGCCTTGGAGTGGCGATGCCAGGCTGTGTCCCCCTGTCTGGGAAGATTCCAGATGCTGCCATCTGCCCAGGCAGGGTGTGGGAGGTGGGGGCTGCTCTCAGGTGAGCACCAGGGTGCTCAGACATGCACAAATGCAGCTGCATCCTAGGGTGAAGCCATGCCAACCGCAGATTCAGTTTTCAAATGAAAAATGAAGATCGAAAGAGACTTTGAAAATTCACCTTTGGGAAATTGTTGAAAATCATTGCTCTTCATCTGTATAAAGTAAATGAGTGCTGGGGTTGGGAAAGGGTCGCCTGCTTGTGAGACTCACCCACCACACCAGGAGAGGAGGATCAATGGATGAGGGCTCCACGGGTCCCAAGGCTGGGACAACACAAGACTTCTGACCTTCGGAGCTCCTCTGTAATGAAGTCCCCGCAGCCAGAGCTGCTTTATGAGACAAGTTTATGGGACATATTAAGAAGCACTATAAATCTCCAGCATAGTGAAAAGAAAACCCACAAACTGGGAAAAGATTTTAGTGAACTCTCTCTCAGACAAGGGACTCTTGTCTAAAACATATAAAGAATTAAAAAAACTCAGACCCACAAAATTCAAAGATCCAATCCAAAAATGGGCATCTGAGATGAATATGTACTTCTCAGATGAAGAAATACAAATGGCAAATAAATACATGAAAACATGTTCATCATCATTGGTCCTTAGAGAAATGCAAATTAAAACCACACTGAGATACCATCTCACTCCTGAAAGAATGGCCAGGATCAAGAAAACCACCAACAACAAATGCTGAAGAGGCTGTGGGGAAAAAGGAACTCTCCTACACTGTTGGTGGGACTATAGACTGGTACAACCTTTGTGGAGGTCATTCTGGAGATTTCTCAAAAAGCTGGGATTGGAAGTCCCATTTATTCCAGCTATTCCACTTCTAGGCGTATTCCCAGAAGAACTGAAAGCATCATACCACAGTGATATATGTGCACCCATGTTTATAGCAGCACAATTTGTAATTGCCAGATCTTGGAAACAACCCAAGTGTCCATCAACTGAGGAATGGATGAAAAAGTTGTGGTATTTCTATACAATGGAGTATTACTCAGCTATAAAGAAGGATCACATTGAGATATTTATCAATAAATGGGCGCAGCTTGAGACCATACTCATAAGTGAAATAAATCAATCTCACATGTGTGAATACTGAATAGTTTCCCTAATGTAAGTAATGATTCAAATATATAAAAGTATGTAGTAATCATGATTTCCCATTATGTGGCCTTAAAGCCTTATAAAGTTTTCACTTATTAATTGGAAAGGCTTTATTCTGGGCTTCTTGATATGGAAATATTTGAAGCTATAGTGTATGAAGTTATATTCAAATATTTCAAGGAAAAAGACAGACACTATGGTAACTACTGTTAAGTCAGGTTATTTGGTGGTGAAGCACTAGCTGAAACAGTCATGCTTTGACCTGTATTGTTATGTTGTTATGTCCTCTTTTATCTCAATCTCCCCCTTATTCATTAAAAAAAATATTTAGTTATTTTTCATGTTTTTTTTAATTAAGGGGAAAAATTTAAAAAAATTAGCAGGATATATTATAGTAACTTTTTTTGATTTCCTATTAACTTGTTTTGAAGTCCTGTAATACTCCCACTATCTTGTTTTGACTGATTAGACTCTGTTCCATTCTGTATGATAGTATCAAGTTTGAGGGTATAGGAAACTACTTTGAAGACAAAAAGATTCACTAAAGATGCCCATTCTGGTTTGACTATTATCTCCTTTGGAAGTCCTATAATGTTTACAATGTCTTGTTTTATTGGTCTTGTTCTCTATTGTTTTGTTCAACTTTATAATACCTAATGTGATAGACAATTATTTTTAAGGAAACAAGAGACATCGTTGATAACCATTGTTGATAACCTTGTACTCTGTTTTTACATCATGTGCTATGTTTATCCTTGGTTTTGACTGATAGCTTTGTTTTGCCATATTTGACTTTATTCTCTTCCAAAAACAAAAGTAATAAGAACTAAGGAGTAATAAAACCCAAAATGTGTAAATTTTGTTGTAAAAAAGAGAGGGAAAAAAAGAGCTCTAAAGGATACAATAGAAAGTGTGTTTAGGGGTGTTAAACAGCTGATCATATTAATGTTTTTGGTTGGATCATTGACCACAACTGTTTGCAGTCTCTCTGTTTGAATGTTCACTTTGTATGCTTTGATACTGTGACTTGAGCAACTATCTCTAAGATGATAATGTGTAATCTATTAACTAGTGATTTCTTACTGTTTTTTTTTCTTTTTGTAGTTCTGTATTACTTGTACCCTTATACTGCTTTGTTTTGTTTTGTTTTTTCTCTTTTTCCTTTTAAATAAAATTTTTAAAAAAAGCACTATAGAGGTGGCTATACCTGAATTTAACTAAGAAAGGCACTGGTGGAAGATTCTAACAAAATGTCCTGGAGCCAGGGTGGAGCAGCCTGGTCAGGCTCAGCCAGAAAAATGTTTTCCCCCAGAGATGAAGGAGCAGCTGGAGTGAGCAGAGCTGGATGAGAAGAGGGTGGTGTTTCAGGCAGGGAAGAACTATGCATCCTGAGCACCAGCCAGGTGAGGGTGCAAGAGAGGGCTCACAGTGCCAGCTTGGCCTGGGTTGAGGGCTTCTCAGCCCATGGATGGAGCTGAGGGATGTGCAGATTGCATTTGCTACAAGCCAAGTATTAGCACTGATGCACACACTAGTTAGATGCTCTTTGGATCTGAGCGAATCACCTGCCCCTCAGCTCCTTCCCTGTCTGGGGCTCGGGGCTTTGGACAGTATTGGGGTGACCAGTTGCTGCTCTGGCTGGGCACAGGAGGCCTTTTCCCCATGTGCTTGTTATTAGCCTAGAAAACACACTCCTTTGGGTGCAGTGTGCTCCCCGAAGCTATGATTTTCTGGGGTGAACATGACCCTTGTGCTTGTGGAATAAGCTGATGTCTCCTGAGCTCCTTTTCCTCGATTTTCTCAGATTCCCACTGCTATGCTTGGGTTGTGATAATTATACATTCTTTGATGAACAGTTCACAAGAACGCAGGGCCCCGCTGAGTAACTCAGTTCACTGTCACATTTCCACATGCCACGTCCTCTAGGATATACATAGAGGTGAATAGAAGTGGCAAAGCCAATCAAAAAATTAGCACTAAAATTTAAGCACCATGCTGGCTGCAGTCGAGCACGCCTATAATCTCAGCTACAGGAGAGGGTGAAACAAGACCATGGCAAGGCCGGCCTGGGCGACGTAACTAAAGCCTGTCTCAAAAACACAGATTCTAAATTCAGAAGCTGCCTGGTGTCTGGCCCAGGGAAGATAACCAGCTCCTTTGAGGAAAACATGTTTATTTAGAGCCCACATTCTCAGGCTGCTTCTCTGTATGGCTTAAAATATGAAGGTTAATAACTATCACTGTGCATGGCCGGAAGGCTGTGTCCTCTCTTTATTTATTGAAGTCCTGACATCCATGTGGTAGCATTCAAAGGTGGTACTTTCTTTTTTTTTTTAGAGAATTTTTTTTAAATTTTATTTAAGGAGAAAAGAAAAAAAAAACAGTGAAAGGGTACAAGTTATACAGATTTACAGAAAAAAAAATGAACAGTAGGAAATCACTAGTTAATGGATTACATATTGCCATCTTAGAAATAATTGTTCAAGTCACAAGATTAAAGCTTGTAGAGTGGACATTCCAACAATGATACTGCAAGCAGTTCTGTTCAATGATCCAATAAAACTCTGTGATATCATTTTCTATCTTATATACTTAAATATACATGCAGTTATATAGTTTAGAGCACTTTCTTTTCCTCTCTTTTGTACAATGACTATTACACATTTTGGGTTTCATTGCTCCCACGGTTCTTATTGCTTTTTTGGAAGAGAGTAAACTCAAATGTGACATAACAGAACAAAATCGGTCAAGTCAAAAGGGTGGACATAATAGATAATATAAAAACATAATACAAGGTGATCAACAATGGTTACCATAATGCCTCTCGCTATCTCTAATAGAATTGCCTATATCATTAGTTATAATACAATTGAACAAAACAGTAAAGAGCAAAACCGACAAAACCAAAATATTGGAGACATTGTAGGTCTTCAAAAGTAGATAAAAGTTAATGAGAATGGGCGTTATAATGAATCTCATTATCTTCACAGCTGATGCCTAAACTTTCGAACCTGATACTATCCAGCAAAACAGAATAGGGGAACATCAGTCAAAAACAAGATGGTGAGAGTAATACAGGGCTTCAAATCGAGATAATAGAAAGTCAAAGTGGGTTACTATATTATATCCTGCTATTTTTTCCCTTTAATTAAATGGATAAAAATAAAAAACTAAATAATGGAGTGGAGATTGAGAAAAAAGAGGGCATAACAGCGAAACAGCGCAGATCAAAACATAACCATTTAAGCAGAATAGTGTTTAACCACCAAATAATTCCAACCCAAAAGTAGTTACCATATTGACTCTTTCCTTGAAGTCCTTGAGTACAACTTCATATACTGTAACATTAAGTATATCAAAACAATGTAAAACCATTTAAGAGAATGACAGCATTACAGAGTATTTAGAATCGACTAACAGAAAGTGAACAATGGTTTCTGTATAATCTCCTTGTCTTTAAAAGGTTTTTGCTTATACTATCATACATAATAAAATCCAGTAAGATACAACCTGTTTAGACCATTGGAGACAGAAAAGCAAAAGCTAGATGAGACTTCAAAACAAGATGATACTAAATCAGTATTACCTATTAAGATGTCAGGAAAGGTACTTTCGAGGGTTAATCAGACTGGGCTGTTTTCACGAGGATGGCCTCTGAGTGGGACATGTACTCTTCCAAGGAGAGGAGAGATGGCATTGGGATCCTATTCTGCCCTGTGAGTCACAGGGACAGCCGGAAGAGATCATGCTAGGAGCAGGATCATCTGGCCTCAGGCTCCAGAACAGAGAGTTAGGTCCCTGTTGTTCTCACCATCTAGTTGATTATGTATAACAATGGCAGCATGAACTTCCTAACACACGCTGCAAACACAGGACCACAAAAATGTGTTTCATTCTCAGAGAAGCTCTAGTCAGGAAGTAAAACAGCTTGTCCAAGCTGTCAGCTCTGCCTCTGATAAAATGGTATGTGACATGACTAGATCAGGAGGGAAGTAACAGCTGCGCACCTGGAACTCCACGCTCGGGACCAGGTCCGGAAGGGGTTTTGGTGAGTGATGAAGATGCTGCTGCGATCCAGGACAGGGTGGCCTCAGTTTCCATCCTGTCCATGTGACCAGAGTCTCAGTAGGCTTCTTTCCCATTCCTGGTCCCTCACCAGGACCCAAAGCAATGGTGTTGCCAGTCCTGCGACTGCTCCCTCCAGGGCCATAAGCTGAATGAAGCCATTTTCTTTACAGACTAACTGCCTCAGGAACTGCACTGACACAAAGCTGACGTCAAAGGCCCAAGGCCTGGGATCCAGGATGATTTATGCTTTGTTCTCAGTCTTTAAATCAGGGTTGAGATGGGCCAGCATCCCAGCTTGAAGACCATCAACCAGAGGGAAAGGAAGAGCTCTTTTCAGCCAGACTTCTGCTCTATCCAGGCTTCCACAGGTGCAGTGAAGCTGTCTGTGCTGGAGGATGGTTCTGCTTCACTGCCTGTCCACTCCAGTGCCAGTGTGATCCCAGCGCCCTCATAGCTCAGGTACAGGGTATGGTGCAACGTGCCTCTAACACCCATGGCCCAGTGAGTCAGCACAGAACCATGACCTGCACAGGGTGCTGCCTTTTCTGTCTCCTGTCTTCAGCGAGGTGACACAGTCCTATCCTCTTGGGGATGGGGTTTCTGATGACACTGGTGCAGCTGTGTCTCAGGCAGGTGAAAGGAGCTGCAAACCACTGCTGTCACAAAGGGAATGAATGCAGCTGGTCTCTGGGTAGCAACTTAGGCATGGGGTTTGAAAAATAAAGCATGGGGTAAAATTGATATTTATACAGTGCATCTAAGACACTCTATTAAGTATCCTTAAGTAAATGAAAATGATGATTTTCCTGCTCCCAGAATTTGTAATCTTGGAGGAGACCAAGTCTTTCACAAGAAAAATACTTGTCAGGGGCAGTAAAGGTGACATAAATGCTAATCTCAGTGCTCAGCAAGGGTGGGAGACAAAGAGGTAGAGAGAAGTAAATTATCAGTGCCCAATACATAAATATTAATGAGTGGTCAGTCTCATCAAAGTTATGCCATGGGCTGGCTCACACTGAAAGGTCATTACTAATCTCCTATGATTTTGTTGTTTACATATAAAAGAGAAGCTCGTAAGATAAGAAATAGTCCTGATAAATTACACAGGATAAGAACACCTCTCTGACATAAAGCACAGCACCCCGTTTGCCAGTGCTGTGCACAGGTGAATTTATATTTCTAAGATGCAGTCTCACCCTTTCCCTTTCCCTCCTAATCAGTCCCCTCCCTCTGTTTCCATGGGCCTGGGGTCCCCATTCCTGCCCCTGTCCCCATACCTTCTCAGCTCCAAGTATTTTCAGGGTGACCTGGGTGGATTATCCTTTTACTATGTGTGAGGTTTGGTGACCTTGTTTACAGTTGGAACAATTTAACCAGGTGCTGACAACCATGGCAGGTTTGGACTGAGGAGAAATTGAAGGGTGGGTGCTCCTTGCCCTTCCCTCTCTGCTGTCGCCCTGCTTAGATACTTTCCAGGGAGAGTGCTGCTTTTGCTTTGACAATTGTCAGAATTTATCCCAGAGTTAAACAGGCAAGACAGCATTGTCCAGGACTGCTGAAACAGGGGTCAGACCTCTCGCAGTTCAGGAATGAGACTGAATTCAGCTCTGAATGCAGCAAGGACAGCTGGGAATTCTTAGCAAACAGATGGAGAGGGGATCATGTGGATGGGAACTCCTAAGAATTTGGTTAGGTACCAGTGGTGGGGAGAGGAGGAACTCAAGTTGACCTCAGTGTTTGGGGACTGTCCGGTAGGATTAATAGGATTATGGCTGACACTAGACTCAACAGCATTCTTTAGTAAAAGTAGGTTCCAAAGGCCAAGAGTGAGTTCTGGGCCAGATAAGAGACTGACCAAGGTCTGGTCAAGGAGATAACACTACTGAACCATGAGAGCTTTGCTGGCCTAGAGGTACCAGGAAACGCTGGTGAGTTCATCCCTGGCCACAGTGTCGCAAACCTCTGGTCCTTCTTTTTAACAGTCATAGTTCACTTCTGTGGCCACAGGTCCACCACTGAGTACCTCTCACATGCTAGGGCCTCTGTCCTCACAGCCGCCTTGCCCGGTCAGTCTGACCACCATGCGTGCAAGAGCATTGCCACTCGCTGAAGGAGGTGACTGAGAGGTCAGATTCACACATTGGAGGCCACACTCTGCGCAGGGAGCTACAGTGCCTGGCCAGGAGCCTCCCTGGAGCAAAGGCTCCTCCCCGCATCCTTTCTCTGACAGAGAACACGCTCAGGTTTCAGAGTCTATGCTCCTGTGGAGTCTGGGTCCCATGTTCTTCCTCTCCCTGCAGCACAGTGTTTCTGTGGAAGTCACTGGACAGGCTCTGCATAGCCACAAGATCCAGTGCAAGCTCTGCATACTTATCAATGCCACTGCACCCCTCAGGGATGGACAGTGCTCCAAGAAATCATCTCCTTGGAGAGGGAACACAGAGAAGTCTTGTCACCAAACCCCCAGCTTCTGAGCAGTTGCCTGTCTGTGCATGCGCTGAGCTACCTCTACCCTGCATGTATGCAGTAATAAAATAAACCAACATTTAGGGAAGAAAATAGTGACTTACAGAAGAAAAAAGTTTTCATAGTTTGCATTTTGACAGAGCAGTTCCAAACTGAGTGGTACTTATGCCTCTGTTTATACATTAAAAAGTCATGGCCAGCAACAAAGAGGGGCCCTGAACCCTGCCATGCCAGCAAAAATTTGGGTTATTTCTATGTACACTCAAACTAGGACATCATTTTTTTTTTTGGAGGTTTAGAGACATTAGTTGTTGCATTTATTTTTTCTTTAATGATAACATCTTTTAATTTGCCATTGATATAATAGCCATCTCTTGAAATGATAGAAAAGGTCTGGCAAACCTAGGAACAAAAACATGTATGCTCAGCTTTTGCCTTGAGAATCTTAAAGAAATCAGAGTAAATCTTCCTTGTGTCATTTTGGAAGCATTTTTTTTTCCTTTTGCTTTCTTTCATTCCTGAAGAACAGACATGAAATGGCTAAAATTTGTGCCCTGGAAAAGCTGGTTCTTAACCTGGGTGGGTGGGTGGGGGGACTATTTTGCTGGAATCACTATTTGGAGAAATGTCTGGCTCCTTAGCCACCTAGAAAGGTTTGTCCTGATCACAGGAAGGTGTGACACAGCTAGAAGTCCGGGGTTGCCTTGGTCACAGTGAGAGTCTTCAAGTAGCTCAGATGCTGGGGGAGGCTGCACCCCTGGCAAGGACTCTCTGAACCGGAGCAGAGAGCTTTCTCTGGGGAGGAGGTCTCTTCTGGTGAGGACATTCACTCTTTCCTGTGTTTAAGTTTCATTTGACATAATAGTTCTGGAATATTCCATCAGGACACCCCTGTGTTTTGATGTTTACCAAACAACCAACGCAGATCAGGAACACCTGTGATATTTGGAGTTTTTGAATATATCAGTTACTCTCACTTGCTTCTTCAGAGAGAATATTATCTAGCAATTCGAGTTGCATTTTCAAGTCAGTTTGCCAGCTTACAACCTGGACTATGGTGTTTATGAGTTCATCTAATTCAGAGAAGCAATTGTCTTCCTCTCTCTTCATCCCCTAATAAAATAAGAAATGAAAATTGCACCTCCCCTGTAGAAGGCTTTCACAGGACTGAGTGAGATGATGCAGGTGAAGCTCTTGGAAATGGGCTTGGCACAGAGTTGATGTGCAGGAAAGCCCAGTTAATGTTTCTTAAATGAGCCACAAATGGAGCTTTGCACATTCAAATGAAGACCTCATTTGAAAAGTGTTCAGTTCTTAAGTTTCAAGGATTTTAAAGCACATTGAGAGTGTCACATGTACAGTGTGCTCACGGCTGGTGCTGGGTGGGAGGAAAGGATGTATGTCTGGGTACTGGCTGTTTACCTTGAGTATTAAGGCTACAAAAGTACTAAAGCCACAGCAGAGGAACACACTATTTCTTCAGGAACTTGCTTTATCTTTGGTAAGTTTCATTCTTAGGCTGAAGACTTCCTCTACTATGTTTCACTCCAGTCGAGAGCACTGGGTGATATTGCTTTCCACAGGCACATGGGACCATGTTCATGCACTGTCAGGTTACCTATGACAATTTGCTTCACTGACCCATGAGGATGAGGTCACACAGAGGCAGGGACACTGTACTTTATCACTGAGCTCAGCGCTGACTCATGATAGCAGAGAAGCCTGAGACTGCCCTGAACCCTGTGGCAGACTTTGTGGTGAAGGTATGGGGCATCCCTCATAGCCTGTCTCCCCTTGCTAGAATGAGTTAGGTCTATCATGCCAGGAACTGTACTCTCTTCTCCCCATTGTGCTTCTACTGCGTAGCAATGGCTGGAGCGCAGTCTTCGGCTATTAACTGCTCTTTCTAATCAGTCAGGAATGAACTCAGGGAAACAGATATTTAAAGCTGTTTTTCTTGCAGATAAGAATGTATTGCTCTTGTTAGCTGCAGGTGTTCTGTTCTTCCCATCCAACTCTCCTCCCTCTCCTATCTCCTGCTCCCTATTGGGTAATGTAGGAAGGACAGAGTAGCTTCTATTGGTCTGTAGAAGGTGCTTTCACTTCTCTGTCACTGAGATCTTGATTTCACCAAAGCACAACTTAAACTTTGTGTCTGAGACACAGTGATATAGTATGAAGTGGGTTTTTTGTGAAAAATTATATCAAGTGATTTAAATATTTGGAAAACTTAATTTTCCATATCTCTCATATCCATGCTGCCATGTCCAAGAAGCCATGCTGCCCAAACACAAATGGGGATGAGGTGGTTAGAGATGCATCGAAGGTCATGGGACCTTGTGCTTACTTGTGCATCCCTAGTCTTCACTTAGGCCTTCCCCTGCTTTCTTGGTTTAACTGATCAATGCTTCCTGTGATGGTTATAACTGACATGTCTCACTGTCTTCTAATTTATTAGGGGTGGGGATTTAGCTCAGTGGTGTAAGCAGCTGCCTGGTAAGCATGAGTTTGTGAGAAAAAAAAAAAAGTTATTCCTTCTCTCTTCTCCTAATCCCAGCCAGATGGCACCTGCCTACTCACTAACTGGCTTCACAATTTTTGGCTATTTCCAAGACGTGTGTGTGTGTGTGTGTGTGTGTGTGTGTGTGTGTGTGTGTATACATGAATGTCTCTGTGTAGCTGGAGACAGCTTTTCACTTCTCAGATACCCAGTCTTGCCCATGGTCAGCAAATACTGAAATGAGAAAATCTTGTCTCCTTTCTCCCTGAAGATTTTGTCTTCTCTCAGGCTACTTTGGCTGCACAATAGGGAAAGTAATCTACTTTATCTCCTTTGAGGAGCAGGGACGTTTGTGGAAGAGACCTCTGCAGAGGCATCATGCACCTTGGACCATATGCTGAGTAAAGATGGTCAAAGGCTGAGGGGTAAGGAGCTTGTTCCTCTCTTCAGGAATGAAAGTATCCTTAGTCCCTTAATTATGCAGAGAGCAAGAGCAGCTACTATAGCTCATTATTTGTTTCACATGTTCAAAGATCAGGGAGAAGGATAAATATTAAGAAAACAACCCAGAGATGACAGGCTGTTTTAGCTTAAGTATAACCTTTAATCATGGTATGAAATCTTCAGCAGGGAAAATGTGATTTGCAGACTGAAATGTATAGGGTGAACATGTTTGGTCATTAAGAGTTTGATATTCATTACTTGTACTAGTTCTTAGCAAAATGATTTTGTATATTCATTTTTAACTTAGACTTGTAGTTGCACATAATAATTATACGTATTT